GGATCTACTTTTTGGGCACCCTTTTTTTAATAATATATGTTGAAAGGCCATTTGGCCTGAATTTGTGGGAGGAGTTATGATCCTATATAAACCCTATCCCCTACTTACCTTTGCCGTTCAAGCTGTTTTGTTTCCATAGTTACCTGCACTTCCGGTTCGTTGTTCCCGCCAGTCTTGCCTCGAACAAACAGTCAGTCTTCAGCAGCTCCTGCCATCGACCTCTGGGCTCGTCCACCAGCTGCCCCGCTGTATTCCCTACTCGTTACCCGGCTATCTGGCTTCCGGTCACGATACCGGCACGCACACCTTGTACTACTCTTCTTCAAGAAGACTCCAGGAGGTGATTCCAGTATCCCATTTCACGGTATCAGGTAAAAAAGGTTAACTTTTTACGTTTCTCTTGAGGCCTCATTCAGCCTCCACTGCTTTTTTTACAATGCCCTCCCACCTCCCAAAGTGGGTTCAAACTTTAAGCATACCATATTTAAAGATGCCTCACCCTCCATGTTACTATTATATTAAGTGTTAATTCTGTTTTTAATTTCTACATATAACTTAGACCTGCACCATATCGCAGATTCACTACGCCTTCAACGACCATCAGGCTACCTGGTTCCCGACGTTTCAGTATCAGGTATCTTTAAATCTTAATCACTACGATTACGTCTTTCTAAGGCCTCACTTCGCCTTCATATCTGTCACAAATATTGCTCATTTGTGGGAACCCAGGGGCTTGTCTCAAAAAAAATTTGGACCAACGTTCAGATCCCTCAGATTACACAGGTGCTTACGATACAGTTTTACTGTTACACACCATTCCATACATTCTACATGTTTACACTTGGCATACCAATGGCACGCCTCAGGCCTACTAGCATCTTTCTTACCCCTAGTTTACTGGACTGGACCTGTTCTTCACAGTATATATAGATATATATATTGAAGTCGCCCTGAGCAATTGTCTAAATATACTGGATAAACACTCAAGGTCAGTATCTATATACGTTATATACTTCCTTCAAGAGACAAGCCCCCATCAGGGTAGAGAACTGGCTTCCAGGGTCAGGAGTTGGCTCTAGCTTTCCCTAATAATACTGTGGTCCGCGAGGTCTACACCCCCACCTCATACACAGAGGTTCAGGTCCACGACCAAATCATAGCTAGCCACCTCGCTTGCTCTTCTTTAGGGCTACAGTTAGGGCTTCCCATGTCAGGGCCACACGTTTTGAATATCTTACAGTCACCGAGAGGCCGACATCCTGCCACCTCGTTCTGGTGGCCACAAAACCCCCTCGGCCCAAATCATAGGTAGAGCCTCTCACCACTTCAGAGAAACTGCTATGTTTACATTGCAGGGTTAATCCAGCCTCTAGTGGCTGTCTTCCTAACAGGCACTAGAGGCGCTTCTGCGACGCTGGATGCGAAACTCGCATTCAGCGTGCAGAAAGTCCATAGGAAAGCATTGGGAAATGCTTTCCTATGGACTGTTTGATTGTGCGCACACGGCTCTTGCCGTGCATTCCGCCCCTCTCGGGAGCTGACGCCGGTGGGGGAGGAGAGGTCACCAGCACCGTGGGAGCCGGTGCTGGATAAAGGTAAGTGGCTAAAGGGGTACCCTGAGGGTAGGGGGGACCTAGGGGTTATATTGTGACACTATAGTGATCCTTTAACTGATCCCTGCGCAAATATCCCTCTACAGTGGGTTGATGCTCTGCCCCCTTCCACGCCCCACAACAACCAGGCGCTAATGCGTTGCAAATGCCGCGCATGCATTAGATCACCCCATAGAAAAGCATTGAATCAATGCTTTCCTATGGGGAAAAATCTGACCCTGGAGGTCATCAAGCAGAGCATGAGGACATCCAGCATCAGATACCGGACCAAATGTCTGTTTTAATCCAGGAAGCCCTCAAGTGGCTGTCAGCCACTAGAGGCTGACTTACTGCTGGAACGTAAACATTGCAGTTTCTCTGGAACATTGCAGCTTGATGTGCAAAAGGGACAATGTACCCAGACCACTTCAATGAGCTGAAGTGGTCTGGGTGCCTTTAGTGTCTCTTTAACTTTGAAATCTTACTTTAGTAAATAACTCTGTCCATGTTTTATTTAATGGGATAATATCCAGAGCATTGAAACTTAAAATGGCACATTGCTGTGCACATGGTTGATGGCTTGGAGTAGGTTTCTGATGCAAAATGTGCAGTGCTATGATTGGGGTATGGTGGACATATTTCCCATAATAGCAGAAATTTTTCATATAGTGTTGGTTTTCATTAACATTGTATGACCTTTTAAAGCAGCACTGTCATGCCGAACTTACCTTTTTTAATCGATTCCTCTTCTCTCCCTCAGTCAGGATCTGTTCTTCATTTCTTCCTGTGTGCCTAGTTTTCTTTAAAACATAAGACAAAGTAGGGACTATTTGTCTTATGGAGGTTTCCTACGCCTGACCATCTCTGACCAGCAGGGGAGCAAAGTGTGCTTCATTTCCGGAGGTCAGAGAAATTTTCCCACAATTCTTAGCTTTCCTCCCTGTTCCCGCGATGCTTCCTGTCAATATTCCTGAACGGCCTGTCATTTAGACAGTTTCTCCATTTGTGTTAGAATGCAATACGGGACTTTGTTTGTATCGGGAGGACATTCTAATGAATGAAATTCCGATCCTATTCGTGCCGCGGTTGCATCTTGCTGCCACTTAGTAGATAACTTCCTAATTCCCACGGTATTAGGGAGCTATCTACCAAAAGGATGAAAGACCTAAATTGGTCTTTAAGTCAAATTTACTAATACTAAGTAAAGATTACTTAGTATTAGTAAATTCTGCCCCTACTCGCTATACCACGAGTAGGGGTATGTCTAGTAAACAGTGAGCAGCCAGTGGCTGCTCACTGTTAAAAAAAAACAACACACCTACCCACTCCCGAGCCCTCACCCGTGCCGTCCTAAAGGATAATGGGGAGGAGGGAGGAACTATTGTCCTCCACCCCGGCGTGGCGGGTGGGGGCCCTAAATAACAATAAGGGGGGGGGACCTTTTGTCCTCCCACCGGCCCCCACCCCTGAGCAGTGGGTGGGGGCCCTAAAGGATAATGGGGGGGACCTATTGTCCTCCCCCCATCCCCCACCCTTGAGCGGTGGGTGGGAGCCCTGAATAACAATAAGGGGGGGACTAAGAACACTCTGATTAAGGCTAAGAACACTCTGATTGGTTGGTTTAAGCAAATCAGAGTCCTCTGTGTCATTTTACACAGCGTGGGAAAGTTCTTTTTCCCACGCTGTGTAATTTGACTCATAACATTCTGATTGGTTGGCTTGGAATCTAACCAATCAGAGTGCTAGTCATTTGTTCTTTAAAATGACACAGCACTCTGATTGGATGGATTTCAAGCCATCCAATCAGAGTGTTTTGAGCCTAATTGCAGGGCGCGGCAAGGCTTTATAAGCCTTTTTCCCGCCCTGTGGAGCTCAGTCTGCGCCGTGCCCTCCCTGGGTGGTTTTTATTTGGCCTTTTTGGGGGCTGAAAAATTGAGATTTTGGAAAAAAGAAGACATCAAATGGTAAGTTTTATTTTTTGTACAGTAGTTAGTTCCTTTATTCCCCCTCACTATTTTTAGGTTGAGGGGGGTAGGTAGGGGATTATTTGTTATTTGGGTGGGAGGGCTGACTAGGGGCTTGGGGACCCCTAGTCACCTTGGAAGGGTGGGGGGGTGGCATTTTCATTTCGGGCCCCCACCACAACTCAGGGTTGGGGACAGGGGGGAGGACAGTAGGTCCCCCACTTATTGTTATTTAGGGCCCCCATTTGCCTCTCAGGAGTGTGGGTCGGGGGGGTGGTACTAGGGTTTGGTTTTTTTTTTAAACAGTGAGCAGCCACAGGCTGCTTACTGTTTAGTAGACATGCCCCTACTTGCAACATAGCGAGTAGGGGCATTCTGGAGATTTTAATCTCCCTTATGCTATTATGGGGGTCATATTGACCCCCATAGAGTGAGGGAGGACATGGGGGGGCTCCCTGCCACTTCTATCTTTACATATTACAAGGAGGGAGCTGCGCACCGGTAACCCCCTCCTTGTAATAAACTGAACAAACAAACGAACACTGATATTCAGTATTTGTTTGTTTGTCTGACATTTCTATTCATTCGTCTTTCTGACTGACTGAGAGCATCAGCCAACAAATTTGGATAACACTAACATTTCTGCTCTTGCTACACATAGTGTACTTAGGTGATAGGTCTTGTAAGCTATCTTCCCCAGGAATGAGCACTAGTCCTTTTCTCATTGATGAGTGGTACAGTGTACTCTGCTTCGACATTGTCCAGGTGTGTGTTGGGAAACTGTTCATGCACTAAGGAATACATTATTGTAATCTAGATTTTTTTTTTATTTTTTAAACACAAACTCGTGTCATTGAGTTCAACCATTAAACATTTCTTTTTAAATGTGTTTGGCAGTTCATTTTCACCAACAAATGATTGATGAGACTCATATCTAATCCCTATGACACATTACATACGCAGGTTGTCGTCATTTACAGCACTACAATGTCTTCATCAGAAGGTTATAAACACAAAAGTGGTGCAATGAAGAGAAAGGAAAATAAAGATGAACAGAAGAAAATTGAAGCCTCAAAAAGCAAAATCCAAAGAAAATTTAAAAAGAAAACTGGGGGGCGGGGCCTGACCACAGGACTGAGAGGATGCAAGTCTCAGCAGCTCCTGCTACTCAAAGCGGAAAAATACTAATAAAGCTACAGAAACTACACTAAAAAGCTAAACAAAGGCCACCAAGTGAAAGGGAAAACTGGGACAAACTCAAAGATACCAAATAAGTGACATTTAACCCGGTCCTTACCAGCCACATGGATGGGGCCTAACAGCATGGCAGGCGCGGGAGAGACGGCCTCTTTCTCACTTTCAAACACGGCCGAAAATCTGACCCAGAGCATTCGCTCCCCCCCCTATGGACCGGCGGGGGATATCCCGGTCCACCCCAACTCAACCCCCCAGCCAAGCTACACTAGAGTGATACGGCTCAGCAGCCTGGAGGCTGCTAACAAGGCCTACAACATGGCGGAAGGCTCACTCACTGCAGCCCAGAGCGACATCAGGAGGGAAACTGAGCGCCGCTATAACCGCATCTTCAGCGCACTCTGGGAATGGCTAGAGGCCCTCATGCAGACCACCTATTCGTGGACCACACCAGGAGGCATGTTCCAAGGTCCGACAAGTGCAGTTGCAGGGAGTAACATGGCTTGCCCCACACACCTCACTCGCGCGACGGGCAAACACCGGCGCAGACGCTGCCAGCACAGAGTAGCCAAGAACCCAGAGACTCCCATGCCACACCGCCAAAGGCTGGCCCACCATGGCGCGATGGCCCTGCAAAAACCCAAAAGCGGCTTTACCCACCTGAGAAGACGACTAAGCACAAGGCCCACAATTGCGGCAACGCCAACGCAACAGCGACCAGAGCCGCAGCCACTCAGCAAGGGGACGTTACACCCCCCCGCTCCCAAGCGACTGAACAGGCGACCTTGCAAAGGCCAGGACACACCGAACCCCCCTGGAGCAGGGCTGGATGCGGCACAAAGAGGTGACACAGGTCGGAGACAGACAAAAGCAATGGGAACTGAAACTCACAGTGGCCCGGTCCATCCTACATACCCCATGGCTCACCTGGACAGAGACTGTTTAAAATGGCCCATTAAAGGCATCGGCTGACTCTCTAACCCTTCATGACTGTCGCTCCCTATCTGTTGCCGGAACAAAGACATCTGTCGACCACCCATACCACTCTTAAGGACGCTCTCCAGATCCGCAGCCCAGAGAAATCGGTTGTGCCGGGCAGGGGGACTTGCTGTGCCTCACAACTGAGATCCAAGCCAAAGCTTGCATATATTTTACTATTTTACTATTGTTTTCTTGTCTTTATTATTTAGGTAGCTGCCTAGACAATGTTATCTCTGTCTCCCATGCCCACACGGCCCTCCACCAGGTTATTGCAGCCACAACGAGAGGCCAGCTTCCGTGGGTAACCTAATAAGCTACCTACCATATTAACTCACCAGCCCAATGCCCACCTACTGACAGAGATAGCCTAAGCATGTTGATAGCTGACTAATACAGTCTAGACCACGCAGCAACGTGAGGTATGACCTTTTTTTTTTTTTTTTAACACGGTCCTACCCAGTGGACTCGGCTATTTAGAAAAATGTTCCCCCCACTCTTCTACCACAAGATTAATCTGTCAATGTCCCTCACTGTATGAAGGCTACTTTTCGTAAGTTTTGTTTGCTGGGGACCTACTTAAGATTCGATTTCCTGATATAAATAGCCACACAACTGTTTGTTAAGGCATACATAATAAGAATGGTCAGTCAGTTATTACACTCACCGTATTCTAAATCTGTTTCATATGTACAACCATTGTTTAATCTTGCAAGCTACACTCATACAGTGAGCAGGAATAGTCTGGTCTTTTTATTAATTGATGTGTTGTCACACCACTGGCTATCATCTTGTTTCCTTTGTTAACCCTCATACAAAAATGTGCATCGATTTCATAAGCCACAACTGTTATACTTTGTCAATTTCAATGCATGTCACTGCTGTTGGGGCATGACATGAATGCTTGTTAAATTAACTCATGCACGAAAAAAAAAAGAATAAAAAAAAAAAAGAAAACTGATCCAGAGAAGGATGTAGCAGGTGGAATGCCAGTGGAGACTGAAACATCTAATGTATGTCTTTTAGCTGAAGAGGAGACCAAAGATGAGAACCTCCTATAAAAATGCCCAGTAAGAAGACTGCATTGTCTCCTCTACAGAAAAAATCACTGTCCCCAGAAGATTTCTTTCTTCATTCTCATGATTTGAGAAAGGCTGGAATCTCCATGGAAATTTTCTGGGAATTTCATCCTAAACAGCCTACTCAGGACATACCATTCAATGGAAACTTTGTTTACTTCAGAAAAGGTATACAATGATCAAATATTAATAGAAAATGGGATACTTACAATGGCAAAAAGAAGACCCTGCACTGTTCAATTTACTTTACTTTCTGCAGAAAAATATCATCATACTCATTGGATTCAGGGTTGTAATGACTGGAGACATATTACATTAAGACTCACCAAGCATGAGCAGTCCCAGTGCCATAAACTTGGTAGTGAAGCCTATATGATCAATATTAAAGGCAAATCGATCAAGCATAAACTTTCAGTTGACCAGCTTTCTATGAGGCACTTCAGCGCCGTACTGTTCTAAGCAACAACATTGATGTTTTTTTTTATTGTAATCCAAGCATTGCCTTTCAGAAGCAGCCATTCAGAGTCTGTAGCTGATGTCTTTGATGATGACCATCTTGAAAATCAAGGAAATTTCTTGGAGGCGGTGAAACTCCTTGCGGAATATAGCCCAGTCCTAAAAGACCATTTGGTAAAAGTGACCAAAAAACATGACCCATCTCAAAAAGGGCGAGGAAAATTTTTAACTTTTCTGAGCAAGTCCTCTATAACTAAATTGTTCACAATCATTGGAGATATGATAAAAGAAGACATTGTTAAGGAAGTTAAGATGTTTTCGGTACAAATGGATTCTACTCAGGATGTCTCTGCACATGATCAATGTGCCATTGTGCGATATATTGTGGAAGATAAAGCTAGAGAGCGATTGGTACGCCTTCTGAATGTTGAGGACTCAAGCAGCAAGGGCTTACATGATTTGCTAAGAGATTCTTTGTGTGACATTGGACTGAATCTGGAGCAGTGTATTGGTGATTCCTTTGATGGAGCTGCTAACACGAGTGGCACATATACAGGATTGCAAGCATTGATGAAAGAAGTGCATCCTATTCACATTCATATGTGGTGCTATGCTCATGTCCTAAATCTTGTTATATGTGATGTTCCAGCAGTGAGTCTGTTTGGACTTCTTGGTAACTTGTCCACCTTTTTCTCTAAGTCCTACAAAAGGATTAAAATTTGGGAAGACCAGCTGAAAGGCAAAACTGGAAGTGCTAAACTGAAAAGACTTGATAAAATTGGTGCTACCGGGTGGTCAAGCAAAGCCAGAGCCCTGTGAAAACTTTGCGGAACATATGAAAACCACTCTGAGGAATTATATTCTGACCTCAGCCTTGTTCTGAAGCATGTAAGTAGTTCATCTGATTTTAGAAATTCTGTTCGTCATAAACTAAATGAAAACCTATGCAAATTTGAAACCATCCTGGCAGCTTTTACATTTATAAGAATTTTTGTCATTACTACTCCCGTGTCAGATTACTTGCAGTCACCAGTCCTTGACATTATGCAGGCATGGTGAATGGTTGAAGATGCTACAAACCGTCTATGGATCTGCAACGACTTTCATTGATCACCTGAATGAAAGACTAGCTGCAGAGAACATTGCCATCAGTAAATCTTTCACAGAACATCGATCAACAAGATGTGTAGTTCCTGCAAATCAACAACACATCTTTGAAGTTTCATGCTACAATGTCATCTGTGATACAGGCAAACTTTACATGCAGCTTGCATGTTTTGACCCAAACCGGTTTGAGGAAATACTGTCTGTTTGATTTGTAATACTCTGGTTTTGTCTATTTATGATTTGTAATGCTCTGGTTTTGTCTGTTTATGATTTGTAATGCTCTGGCTTTGTTTGTTTATGAGTTGTATTGCGCTGGTTTTGTCTGTTTATGATTTGTAATGCTCTGGCTTTGTCTATTTATGATTTGTATTGCTCTGGTTTTGGCTATTTATGATTTGTAATACTGGTTTTGTTTATGATTTGTATTGCTCTGGTTTTGGATGTAAATTAGTGATAGTAAAATGTCTATTTACTGTGTACACATGTATTCAATATCTACTCAATATGGCTGCTAGAGCACCCACTCCCACCGACTAACTACCTTGTGTAACAAGATGGCACCCACATCCGGAGTAAAATCCCAGGATGATGGAGACATCACGCCTCGTAGGATGTGCACTTGATAAGACACTTAACACCTAACCATTTGAAGATGTATTCTTTCTGTTATCTACATTTTTGCATATGATGTATTTCTGCCTTTATAAGGGGCTTGCCGCCCCCCTGATTAAACATTCCGAAGTTTTTCATTAACCTGATACCTGTGTCTCAGTGTGATTTACTTCAGAAGTGTGCACGCATTTATTTTACCAATTTGGAAGGGAGCAGATACTCAAATAAACAAACACTTGGTTTGATCCACAACAAGGGTATACTTGGAGAGGGTGATAGTGAAGGGGGTTACTAAATGGGTCTATTTATGATTTTGTAATGCACTTGTTTTGTTTGTCTATTTATGATTTGTAATACTCTGTTTGGTTTTGTCTATTTATGATTTGTATTGCTCTGGTTTTGTCTGTTTACGATTTTGTAATACTCTGGTTTTGTCAATATATGATTTTGTAATGCACTTGTTTTTGTTTGTCTGTTTATCATTGGTAATGAACTTGTCTTGGTTTGTGCATTTGTTAATTATTTTGCACAGTTTGGTTTTTGCATTTGTTAATTAAATGACACTTGTTTAGAACTTTTTGCACTTTTGTTCCTTGTGTCTAAAGATTGTGTCGGGTGTGGCTGGAGGTGGGACAAGAGTAGGGCTTGCGGCAGAACAAGTGTGGGGCCTGTAAGGGGGCCCTTGATTTATTTTGCCCGAGGGCCCTGAGGGTTTTCAGTCTGCCCCGGATAAGGAAATAACATTCTAGGCAATTTTGTAATAACAAAAGTTCTTTGGAAATGTCAAATCCTATTTCAGCATGGCTCTGTGCTCAAAACCTGGCCCCTATATGGCATTTAAAAAAAGTTTGTAAACAATAGGCACCAAGATACTTCCAGGTGGCAGAATGCGAGCAGCTTCCACGGACCTGATGAGGTCGAGGCGATCTAGTCAGGGAACATCCCCTGTATATCCAGTACCAGCCACTATTGTCAGACTCCCTTCCTGGAGACCAGGGACCCATTCCTGTCCATTGCTATGAAGAGGCGGCTCTCTAATTAGGAGGCCGTCTGGGGCCTCGCGGCTGCCTAAATCGCCTTATGGCAGTCTGTGTCAGTGACCGAGGACCTGACACCAGGAGGGGTTTACATGGTCTGCAGCTCTGCACAGTGCGGGGAGCTGCAGACCAGACATCACCACTGGACCACCAGGGAATTGAATTAGGTATTTAGTCCCCCCTCCCACAAGGGTAATGGTGGAACTCTAGGAGTCTCAATACAGAGTTGGGGGAGAGAGCCATACTGGCTACCATCGTCAAGGGGTGGGAGCTGGCGGCCTCGGAGGAACTTGGGGCCTGGGCCACTCTGTTAGTATCGTACCTGGACAGGTTACGTAGGGGTTTAAGTGGAGTGGGCAGAGTAAGGACGGGTGGGTCAGCAAGGGACACTAAGGGTCTATCGACCATGACGGGCATAATAGGAAGGGGCATACTGGAGGCCGCCATGTTAGGGGTGGGGACGGAAGTGACAGGTTCAGGAAGGGAAGCAGTAATAAAGGCGGAAGTGGCGGAGACAGGAACTAAGGGCGGAAGTGACAGAAGCAAGAAGCGAGGGCAGAGCAAGGGCGGAAATGGCAGAAGCAGGCTCAGTTGGGGCGGAGAGGGAGGACGTATCCTGGGTTTCCAGAGAGGGCATGACGGGGCGGGGGAATATAAAGATCTATCCGCCCTAAGGACGGGAAACACGGAGGTGGGGACTAGGGGCGCAGTGACTGTTGACACAGGTAGTTGGGTGGGGGTCACAGAGACTGGGCTGACCTCCCTCCCTCCGTGCCAGGCGCTATTATAGGGCGGTGGCTGGCTGGGGATTTCAATAATAC